AATTACACTGCTCCGAATTTAACAATGAACAACACAACTCTACGGATGTAACACACATTGTCTGACTAACTCGCACGCATATGCAGTTAGCCAGGGTAGTAAATAAAGGACTAAACTAAACGCTAACTGTCGAGGACTGATGCAAACATAATGAATGCAGGATAATATGCATGAACAAGAACGACAAATGAGAGTACACAACCTATGATTCCTCACTCTGATAATACTGATCAGACATTGCATTCGCCTGCTCCCTTCCCGATATACTACCGGGCCACAGCCGAAGGCCCGGGCGAAGCTAGAACTTCGCAAATCGCAATCGTCCCTTCCCTATAGTAGATGTTATTGGATCTATTAATTGGACTGGTGTCTTCTCTCTTTGGGAGTGATTGTGTGAGTGTGAGTGCCCACAGGTATGGCTGGGTGCTGAAGGTGAAGTTGGAGTGGAGATCAACAGGGGAGCCGGTAGGCTCCCCAGTCAGCTAAGGACTGGGCGACCCAACCTGAGAAACTATGCTGAACATCAAATTGCGGGGTCGTGCTGCTACACCCAGCAAAAGGGTGCAGTGATCCTCCCATAATCCTTGGCCTATAAAAACCTGCAGCAGGATTTTGTATGCTGGAATATACACAGGTTTTAGCTCTAGGTTATAGTGTTCAACCACATGCATTCTGATCTGCCTATCGGACTGTTCTTTGTTGGTAAATTTTCGGGGAATTGCTAAGACGTCAATTGGTTGTCTTCGCCCGCATCGGCAGGTCACTCCACTCTGTGCTGTTATTTTCTGATTATTTACCTTGCTTTTCCCTGACCTAGCCACTTGTATATTTTCTACCTTTATCCTTCATTTCATTCGCAAGGGCTTCAGGAAGCTTATCAAATAAAGCACTGTCAACTTCATCCTAAACTCGTTTGCGCACAGCCAGAGAGTTAAATGATATTAACTAGCTTTCACAAAATATTTTAGTGTAGTAAGCAAAGCAATTCCCACCCCCAAACTACTGACCTTGGAGTGTTTGCCTCAAGGTCAAAGCCTTCTTACTCAGAGCATAGGGGCGAATTTAGGTCTTGTCTTCCAGGTAACAGTAGCGGCGATCATTTAATAAAATTCAATAATGCATGAAGGCCTCGTATTTAACTGATCTCGCCATATGAATCCAGACATGGAGTACTTTACTTGCAACTTCTCCGGCGACCAGAAATCACAGCCGTGGATACTGATAGTCCTTCTCCTCTGCCCTCGCCTCTGTTCTGAGGGTCCCGTAGAAAACGGCGGGAGCCTCTGAAGGAATACTCACTGTCGGAAAATATTTGTCGAGTACTAAGAATTGAGTCTTAATTAATGACAGAACTTATTTAAATAATATTATTTTTTCATTACCAAAGAGTTTAACTTATATCTTATATAGTTCGTAGTTATTAACATGTTCCTAGGCTGTAACATGTTCCAGGTCGCCTCCCAACGCGCTGTCGGTGCACCGGAACCGCCGCGTGCAATGTGCTCTTCGTAACGCATTGCTTCAGACACACCGACGCGTCTGAGCCGGGATAGACCGCGCACACTGCATTAGCTTCACGCAATATTTACATGAGTAGTATAAAAGATTATCCTTTAAGAATGAAGTAAGTTTAGCCTTCAATAACTCGACTAATTGCAAATGGTGATTCTCAGTCTGCCTCGAAAATGTTGAAGGGAAAATACTTTTTAACATTACTTATGTCTTCTTATCTTCTGGCAAATAATTAAATGAACCTAGAACTTCAGCCACTCTAGAAGTTTGGTGAATTCTACCACCTGAATACCAAAAATGGCCTTTGGTTTGAGTTATGGGGAGATCACGCTATTATCTGGCAGGTTCAGAGGAATACTCAGTATCTATTTAGCTTCTTTATTGTCAAGAACAGACACGTAGTTTGTGGAGATCTCGGTAAGGTAGCATCTTAGTGTTGACGAGGTCGGTTGCAACGGACCGGAGCGAGGAAGGTATGCGCAGGTCGTGATCAAGATGCAGACTGCTTGGCCCAGATCATCTTTGCTCACTTCTCACCTGACTTGCTTAGGGGTGTGAAGGAATGGGTGGAGGAACAGCTGGTATTCGCCGGAAACATGTCATGGGGAGAGCGAAATGAGGTCACTGCCCTCTGCTGTTCCCATAACCATGTGGTTGTCACACTCACTCACTTTCTCTGTTTCTTTCTCTCTCTCTCCGACTTATTCTCTTTCACCTTCATACACACGCAAACCCCTCTCCCCCCTCCCCCCCTCTCTCTCTCTCACTCTCTCTCTCTCCCTCTCTCCTCTCTCTCTCTCTCTCTCTCTCTCTCTCCTCTCTCTCTCTCTCTCTCTCTCTCTCTCTCTCTCTCTCTCTCTCTCTCTCTCTGTATATATATATATATATTGTTACACTTATCCTCTCATATCCTATTTTTCCTGTGATATTTACATATAGGTTGTAATAACTATTTGGTAGTGCATTACGGAATCTAAAAATTCTATTCCTGGAACGATATTTTTATATTTATAAAAATTATGTATGATTCATTTGTATCTGTTGTGTAATATCTGTATGATTTCATTATTTGATCTTTCTAAAAAGGTTTTCCTTACTGTTATACAAATGTGAGGATCAAGAAGATGCTGTCTTTTAGTTGAAATAAGATTCGAAGAGATTGGGTGATAATTTAGGAAAAGTGTTGGAACGTTTTGTTACAACGCTCTCTCGATGTGTTAAGCCGAAAGGGCAAGGAAGGGAGACGCCTGTTACTATCTTTAATTTAATATCTATATATAAATAAATGTTGAATTGAAATTTGTTAGTTTAAACTGTTCTCTGGGGATGAAACGTAAGGCTAATTAAAGTAAAAAAAAGGAAATTTATCATGGGAATTGCATTAAATTTCAACTGAATGATGAATGGCCTCAAAGTCATCGAGAGCACATGTCCAGGTATGACACTTTTTTCTTTGTTGTGGAACCAGTGCTGTATTCATATAGATATGTCTGAGAATTGATATTGAATGATCATTCAACAATGATATCCATTCTGTGTGTGGGATGTGATTGGGTTTCATCAACTTAGAAATTATATGAGGGATATTTAATTTACTTATTATTTAGAATATATTTTGATACAAATTAGATATTTATATTCTTTGCATTAGCCAATCTTTGAGCAGACAGATTTCTTCGAGTAAAATAAACACCTGTCATCTGTGTGTGGTCTAACATGATATCTCTCTGTTAACAGAAACTATTCTTTCAGAGTGAATTCTGATATAATGAATCAATGGGCTGATTTGCACATCATCCCTGAGGTCTAGGTGAGGATGTAAGGCTGGAAAGGTGTAACATGGGGGCATACGCAACCTGCATAAAGGTATTTAACGCTGCAGTTGTAGCTCATGAGTGTCCTTGTGATATAGTCTAAAACAAGAAAGTTTATGTAAACGCTTCAAAGTTCAGTGATAGTTGTCTTAGTTAAAGTCAGGAAAATGGTAGGGAACGTTGAAAAATTATTGTTTCAGAGTGAATTCTGATATAATGAGTTTTAGGCGAGGATGTAAGACAGGAATGATGTAACAATATATACATATATATACATACATACATACATATATATATATATATATATATATATATATATATATATGTGTGTGTGTGTGTGTGTGTGTGTGTGTGTGTGTGTGTGTGTGTGTGTGTGTGTGTGTGTGTGGATCATCATATATATATATATATATATATATATATATATATATATATATATATATATATGCATATATATATATATATGTGTGTGTGTGTGTGTGTGTGTGTATGTATATGTGTTTGTGTGTGTGTGTGTGTGTGTGTGTGTGTGTGTGTGTGTGTGTGTGTGTGTGTGTGTGTGTGTGTGTGAATGTATGTGTACAGGGTTAGTGTAATTTTTCCTTAACTTGGGTATACAATGCCTATTTTCTTTTAATTATTTCGTGTATGTGTGTGTGCGTGTATGCGTTCCTTGGTAACGTTCCCGCGACCAAAGCAAGGTCAGTGACCCATTCAGCACGACCTTCACTTGGCTCCAGGCTCCGTGCCCATACACGCCTTTTGTAAGTATTGCCAATGTATTGGCATATATAACACTTTTGTTTTTAATTTCATGAAAATGATGAATCTGTACATATTCGTTGATAATGTAACAATGCTAATGGTGGTGTCTCTGAACATTTGCAGTCTCCACTTTTATGAAGGTGAAACCTGACTTTCGAAAGCACCTTTTTCAAGACGGCTGACCAGGGTCTGTACTCAGATTCGACATCTCGCCAGCAAACAAGTTGTCTGTGAAAACCTCTCTTCTGTACCAGCCCATTGTCCCATTTCTTGCGGATGCAGAAATTGTCGTGTTTACTTTATATAAACTGTAAATATATTGGTGAAATGTGACCTGCTAATATAATTATCCTGGAGAAATACCCACTCATCTAAGGATCAAACTGAACTAATTAAAAAGAGGAAATACAACTAAGGAAACCCTCAACAGTATGTATGTATTCATTTGTGTGTGTAGATAGATAACACATGCATGTCCAGTATCTTCTACGCTTTCTCTATTTCTTTATTTCCATGCATGTACCCATTCATTGTATTCTTCTCCGTCTTCTTATAGATTCTCACATGTGAAAATGAAAATTATACTTTATATAACATCGTTTATTCCATAATTAGTTGTTAATACATATAAATGTCTGATTTTATGTACATGTACTATATATCCCGATCCTTGCCCGTCATTAATGTATAACAATTATAACCATTGTAACTTGACCAAAATATTCGTGAAAAGATGAACCACTTGGTGAAAAGGAATAAAAACAACTTTCAGGATTTCTAGGAATATTGACTTTTGTTTCCTTGGATGTTCGCGTGCACTGGCCTCTCTCTCTCTCTGCTTGCAATTTAGCAATGCCTTCTCAGGCTGCGCGGCTTGAAAAGGCCCAAAATGAACACATCGCCCGTGACACACACAGCTGACTCCCACGCTGCTGGCCCCGAAAACCCTGTCCTTTCCCGGAACCGAATTCCTTCCTCGGTGCGAGGTGCGCTTCCTCACGCGTCGGAGGAAATTTCGACGCACGTGATGGCCTCCTGGGACTGCCTCTCGCCCTCGCCCGGCGCCGTCAGTCGCCTTCTCAGGAGCAGGTAGATGACGGGGCTGACGGTGGCGTTGATATATGTGAGAGGGCTGGTCAGCTGAAGCGCCCTTAGCAGGGTGAGGCTGAAGGAGGAGGCCATGCCGAGCAGCCGCGTCACGCAGAAGGGAGTGAGAATGAGTGTGTACGCCGCGCTCAGCGCCACCAGGAAGCGCCTGTTGGCGAGCGCCTTCTCGCTCAGGCCCATGCGCTTCCACGCCCTCCGCGAGGCGACCATGCGCAGGATGCAGCCCCAGTTGATCAGCATCGGCACCATCACCATCACGATCACCAGACTGTCGATGAACGTGAGGAACTTGAGGTTGAAGTCGGTGACGGTGCAGAAGAACATGCCGCTGTAGCCCTCCACGACATCGATGTACGAGATGAGCGAGGCGCTGAGGGACACGACGCCGATCCAGATGAGGGTCGTGGCCACGTAGAACCACCTCGTGCGGGTCATGGGCGCGTTGTGGGCGTAGTGCCTGTAGCACTCCACGCTCATGGCCACCAGGAAGGCCGAGCTCGCGAAGATACACATGTGGGCGCTCGACACAGTGAGCTTGCAGATGGCGCTGCCGAACGCCCAAGTCCGCATGAGGATCCGCGCCGCCAGCACCGGCACTGTCAGGAGGTAGATGAGGTCGGACACGGCTCTCTGCATCACGTACAGGTTGATGACGTTGCTCTTTCGCGCCGACGCGGCCACCCAGATGGCGACGAGGTTCGCGCAGACGCCCGCGATGGCCGACAGGATCATGAGGCCCAGCTCGACCTTGAGGGTGACGGCAATCGGCGGCAGTTCCACCTTGTGGGCCAGCTCCAGCTCCTCCTCCGCCAGGCTCTCGTCGAGGTCGGCCATGTCTGTCTGTACGCGGGCGAGGCTCTCGGGGTGTCACGCGGCAGTCTGGCGAGGGGATCAAAAGGCTGAGAGATTCACCTGCTTAACTGCCTGTACATTCGTGCAAGGACGGCCGAAGAGAACTCAGCCGCTCTTGGAGTAAGAACACATCCCAGCAAGTGCTTTTTACAACATGAGGTATTTAATTGCTTTAATACTACACTGCTGAGTGCAGTTCAACATGACTCTCGACCGTGCTCTTTGTCACAACTAAAATCACATGCTGATCCACGCTCCAGAAGCAAAACCAGATGGGAAACACTGACCTACGTGGCGCGAGTGGGCGGCGATGCTCCCCCTCTAGCGGCCGGTGACTAAGTGAGACCTTCCCTGCGCAGCGCTTGCCCTTCGACCCGCCCGCCACCACGGCCTCCGGAGTTCGGCGGGCGGCGGAGGCAGGGCTGCACGATCCTATTTCCCGTTCTTTGCTTCTTTCGTTCGGGTCTATGTTTACCCTTTCTTTTTTCTGTCTCGTTCTTTCTCTTTGCTGATCTCTCTCTCTCTCTCTCTCTCTCTCTCTCTTTGTTTCTCTCTCTCTCTCTCTTTGTTTCTCTCTCTATCTTTGTTCCTCTCTCTCTCTCTCTCTCTCTCTCTCTCTTTCTCTCTCTCTCTCTCTCTCTCTCTACCAGCCTTTTTGTCCTTAATGTCTGCATGTCCCTGTCTCCTCAGTTCTTTCCTTTTGTTAATTTTACATTTTTCTCCTGCATTTGGTAAAAATAATATTCTCTCTCTCTCTCTCTCTCTCTCTCTCTCTCTCTCTCTCTCTCTCTCTCTCTCTCTCTCTCTCTCTCTCTCTCTTGTCCTATTTTTTTCCTTCTCTTCTCTGCTCTCTTGAAATAGAAATGTATAAAAATAACGAAGGCAAACTGTTGTGTTGTCTCTGAAATTACAACAGCAACAGTTGTTACAACAGCAACAGCTATAACAATAACAACAGCAACTACAACAATAACGACAGCAACTACAGCAATATCAACAACTACAACAGTAACTACAATAACTGCAACAACAACAGCTACAACAGCAAACAACAATAACAACTACAATAGTAACAACAATAACAACAGCAACAACCACAATACAACAACAATAACAACGACGACAACAAAAACAATATGAACAACAACAACAACTACGCTAACAGTAACAGCAACTAACTAGAATTGACATGGAGGAGATTGGTAAACAAATATGGTCACATCGTTGTATAAGAGATAAGGCACCATTAGTTAACAGCCCGTACTCTTAACTGTCCAACCACTCCCTCCCGCTTGTACAGTGCTACCCTGACCAAGCTGACACGTAGGGTATAGTACGGGGTTTCTGTTGTATTCTTATGTCACTGTAGGTGTGCTGTGTTTTCGGAAGTAACAGTATCAATAACAGAAGCGGAATAGTGGTGACAACAACGACAACAATAGCAATACTGAACTGGTGCGTTTGATGGTCAGAGTCTAAACTAGCAAGTTAGGGTCATGTCCTTCATTGGATCCTCAAGGTCATAGCGAACTTTTTTTTTTTTTTTTTTTTTTTTTTTTTTTAGAAAGAAATAGCTGTGGTGAAATGCAGTACGTATATGGTGTGGTTAATGATTTGTAGACTTGATTAAAAGAAAGTTACTCACAAAGGAGTTCGACTGTGCCGAAGGAATGCAACGGGCGCTCACCAACCTGCAGCCAAATGACATCCTATTCTCCTTAATAATGCCTCAATTGTGGATGCAGTCGTTCGCAGCTATCCTCAAGTGGTATCGCAATATAGGACTGATATTACCACCACACTCACTGGCTGGAGCGTCGCGTAGCAGATTCATGGACCTCTTGTCGTTATGTTGCAAAAGAAGGCGTTCGGAACGGGAAACGTTAACTCTGAAATGGTGGAGACTTTCGGATATATATTTATTGTTATTTCTATTTTTGTGCTCTACGAATATACCGGGCATTCAACACCAGTTCATATTAACAACATTAAGATATTTTCGGCTGGATACCTATACGCGAAAAAGCGAATGCTGGATGGAAAAAAAATTACAGCTCTATTTTATTAACCTTTAGCATGGGGTTTAAGTAAGGAATTACAACACGTGTTTCATGCCAATCTCTCTTTGGCTATAAGCATCGACTAGAAAAGGGGAGAACCTTATTCTGAAGGACTAGGGTTCACCTACATAACTTCTCTCTGTAGACCTGGCAACATAGGGGAAGCACGGGATGGCACTGGATAGCGAGTGGCAGAATGAGCCGGTGTTCGCGGAGGGAGGAAGCCAATCTTTGAACCCGAACTTGAACAGTGACATTTGTACAAAGATTAAACTAAAGACAGCGCTAAAGAGGGAAAAAAAATCAGTGACCCACGTTTCGAGTAAGACTTAGACAACTCGTCAGACGGCAAAACTTACGTGGATTTTGTCTTTCGTTTGTTGTCTAATAAAGAGGCTAGTCTGATCCGAAGCGCTACGGTTTAAAGATTCGAGTATCATTGTGGCTGTTTCATTTCAAGAGAGTTAGCATTCGTACAACACACAATTCATTCTTTACAAAGCTAATGCCTCCTCCTTTGTGTAACGTATGTGTACCCATAGGCAAACGATTAAAATATATATGTTTGTATATACTTACAATGCATGTGTTTTAAAACCGAGATGTGAATGTATGTAACATATGTAATGTATGTCTGAATGTAATAACAAACTACATGCATGGCTTAAGAATTACGATATTTATGAGATCAGAACTACTGCCGTGAAGATGGTTGAACACAATGAGAACTACTATATATCACGTACTTATCATAACATTCCTTTTTGCGGACGGGCGTTATCAAAACTTGCTTTATGAACCTCTCGTAGACGTGTATAAACAGAGGTGCCACATGCATAGTGCCATCTCATTTACAAGTGTGGGTTCTAAACCTTGTATGCTCGGAGTTGGAGCGATTGTGGAAGGGAGAGCTGGGGCGAGAATTTAACGCAACCAGTGCAGTGCTATCATTGGTGTTATCCTAGCTATTAAAGTATCAAGAGTAGGACCACGCAAACATACACCCACGGCATATATATATGTATACACGTAAGTATGCTCAAAGACTCGCCTAGAAAGACACAAATTTTCACACACACACACACACACACACACACACACACACACACACACACACACACACACACACACACACACACACACACACACACACACACACACACACATACTTACAAATAAGCAAACACACACACAGAGAACTAAGAAAGTAGTATAGTAGTAAACAGAGAGTGAGAGAGGAGGAGAGGTAGAGAGAGGTAGAGATAGATATAGATAACTAAGGAAGCAGTAGTAAGAGAGAGAGGAGGGAGGAGAGGGAGGGAAAGAGAGAGAGAGAGAGAGATAAGAGAGAGAGACATAGACAGAGAAAGAGATCTAGAGAGAATATGGATAGATAGACAGAGAGAGCGAGAGAAAGAGAGAATATGGATAGATAGACAGAGAGAGCGAGAGAAAGAGAGAATATGGATAGATAGACAGAGAGAGCGAGAGAAAGAGAGAATATGGATAGATAGACAGAGAGAGCGAGAGAAAGAGAGAATATGAATAGATAGACAGAGAGAGCGAGAGAAAGAGAGAATATGGATAGATAGACAGAGAGAGCGAGAGAAAGAGAGAATATGAATAGATAGACAGGGAGAGCGAGAGAAAGAGAGAATATGGATAGATAGGCAGAGAGAGCGAGAGAAAGAGAGATAGATGAATAGAAAGAGAGAGGCGGCACTAAATACAACTTGCTTATGTAACTAAGTACCCAAGACCACAGACATATCATTCCTGCATATGATGAGTATAATCAATGGCGTTATTTTTTTGTGTCATTAATATTATCAATTTATGCAATTTCGTATAGTTTATTATCAGGTGATTGGGAATCTATATGAAGCTTGC